AAGTATCTCCACCTCTTTATTAACTATTAACAGGATGACTGGGTGGAATGGTTAGCATTAGCTGCTTTTTAATATAATAATCAGATACACTCAGCAACAAGGAAAACCCTATTCTTTGTTAACTATGGACAGCACCCACATGTTGCACAAACAGAGCAACACTGAACAATGACACCAGCATCAACAGACTTTGCCACCACCATGGCAAAAATCCATGTTGAGACCAAAACAGCACTTAAGAAGGCTGCAAAAGCTATGACAAAACAATATGACAAACATTGCCAGCCCTCACACATATACCAAGTCAACGATAAAGTCTGGCTTGACACAACAAATCTTCACTTGCCATGTCTGAAGTGTAAATTAGCAGACAAATGAATGGGTCTATTTCTGATTTTATCCAAAATCAGAACTGCTGCTTATAAACTCCATCTTCCTCCTTCATGAAAGATTCATGATGTCTTTAATGAGACACTATTGACACTCTATATCACTCCCACATTCTCCAACCAACAATGACTGCCTCTTCTGCCACCAGACCTGATCGATGACAAAGAACACTACAAAGTCGACCAAGTCTTAAACCACAAACTATGAAAAGTCAAAGCAAAAGGCAGTGAGATAACAACCACAGTCAATTACCTAGTCAGTTGGAAGGGTTACAGGCCCAAGTCAAACCAGTGGGTGAATGAAAAACTAATGAACACTGATGATGCCATATACGATTATGAACTATCCCTAAATTAAGCTATCAGGATGATAGTCTTAAGGAGAGGGTAATGTTATGATTTTCTTCCTCTTTTTGAATTCAACCCCTATTTATACTTAGTCAGAGCACCAGAACAAGTGCTTAGGACTGTGAGACAAAGCTTGGTCATCACAACTGACCAAGTCAGTCAGTGTCTCTCAATGCAACAACATTGCCCAGCAACACACAACTAGCCTTTTATATATCATAACAATGCTGCAGGACAAAGAGCACAATGACAGAGGAATAGATAATAAGTAGGTAGTATTATTAGTGAATCATGTTTGGTATTTAAAGGAGCTCACTCTCACTGGTAAAACCCAGCTTTGAGCTAAAGTTTATACACCCTCATTCTACTCTTGAGCTAGTCATAAAAAGCCTTGAAGCACCAACAATTAATTACAGTGGACTCTAGCAGAAGGCTCGAACATGAAGCCACATTAGTTTATCATATGCCACAGTTGATCACATGCTGCTTGAGCCTAACACATTCATGCCCATTCACTTGAGTATTTTGAGAATATATGCCTTCCAGGATAGAGTGATAGTGCTTTTATCCCAATTTCTGTCTATCTTCATGCCTAATATATATTGAATCTCCCCTATGTCTATGATATTTAGCTTTTTCTTAAGCTCTTCTTTCATTTTAGACATGGTTTCATTATCTGGAGTAAGCAATATCATGTCATCAACATGTACAGCTATGATTATAGGATCAGAACTCATTTGTCTGATGTATACACATTGATCACTGATCAATTTAGTGTATTCTAGTCCTAAAAATATAGTATTTAATTTATCATTCTAAACTCAGCCAGATTGCTTGAGTCCATACAATATTAATTTGAGGTATGCTGCTTTTCCACTCTCATTTGAATACTCAGAAGGTTGTGCCATATAAATAGATTCATTGAGTTTATCATTTAAGTAAGCTTCATCAACATCCATTCCATGAATGATTAGGTTTCTTTAAGCAGCAATTGTCATAAGTAGATGGAATGTGTCCAGTCTGACAACAGATGCATATGTCTTGAAGAAATCAATTTCAGATACCTGTGAAAATCTTTTTACAACAAGTCTGGCCTTGTACCTGGTGATTTTCCCATTATCATCTCTTTTCAATCTGTAAGTTCACTTGCAATCTACAAGTGATCTGTCTTTGGGTAATTCTTCCAGCTGCCATATGCTTAAGAAAGTCAATAGATTGTATTCTTCATCTATTGCTTTCTTTCAATGATGCCAATCTGGCCTTGTCTTAGCTTCTTCAAGGCTTAATGGCTCATCATCAAGATTATCTGCAGTTTTCTTAATATATACAGTCTATTGCAATATTTATAGCTTCTAAAGATGATTCTTCTGAGATACACTATTGTTCTGATATTTTCACAGCTCATGCACTTGGATTATGAAATGTCTAGTAACTCAGTTGAGTTATTGATGCAATTCAGACTGATTTGTCATGTGGCTTGATTATTTTTCTATGCCATATTGGAAACTTTGATTTGATTGATAGCACATCAGAGGCTGTTTCCTCTTTTGATTCAGTATTTTCAGCATTCATAGAATCATCTGAAATGCCATCATTTCTATCTGGAGTCTGCTCAACTTTGCTCTCTGACTCCCTCTCAAGTGACAAAGAGTGGAGGACTACATAGTCAATGTCTATAGGCTCTGTAATGTTGCTTTCAAAGAATATAACATTTCTTGAGATCTGAATCTGCCTGGTTTGAGGATTATAATATCTTTAGACTCTAGATTCATCTGTAAGACCTGTAAAAATAAATTCCCTTGACTTTAGATCCAGTTTTAATCTCTTGTTGTCTTACTGAAATACCTAGCACTTTACTCTGAATTCCTGAAGTGCTGAAATATCTGATTTTATGCTCTGAAACACTTCTTCTAAAGTCAGATTATTTTTAATGGCCCTGGTTGGTGATCAGTCCTTTAGGTATGTGGCATATGCTACTGCCTCAGGCTATAGAAACTTTGGTAAGTGATGTTCTTCTAGCATAGCATATGCATGCTCCACAAGAGTCTAATTTATTCTCTCAGCAACTCTCTTTTAAGATAGAAAGTATGCTGCAATCAATTCCAACTGTATGCTATTGTCCTGGAGATATTCCTTTATCTCTTCATTGACATATTTCTTTCTATTGTCAATCCTCATAAACTTCTGATTCTTTCCTTTATGGACTTTGATGTATTTTTAATACTGTTAAATCTTCTTTTGAATTTCCATACTTTGCTTTGACTTCAAAAAATACAGCATTGTCCTCTGGGATTTTCCATCTGTAAAGCTTATATAATATCTTTTATCATGGATACCCTGAGTTCAGGCCAGCCCTTATAGATCTGAAAATATTATTTCCCCTATTTCAGTGTAGTTTCTTTTGGCTTCCTGTAGAAATAGCTTAATATGATGCTTGGCTTTTATGCCAGCTATGCAATCTGTCTAAGGCTCAGCTGACTCATCTATATCCATCCTCTTGACTATTTTCTTTCTAAATAGTCTCTTTACTGATCTCATATTTAAATAGCCTAATGTTTTATGCCACTTTTGCTATGATCAGATTGATTTCATAGTATGGGCCTGAGTTATTTCTGGAACAATAATGTCAAGGCTATACAGCTTTGATATTTTATTTTCATGGCCAATTATCTTGCTATGTAGTGAGATAGTATCCATCCTGGATTCTTTGAATTTGAGTTCAAATCCAGCATCAGTAATATGCCCTAGTGATATAAGATTGAATGGTGCATTAGGACAGTGGATACACTTCTTTAGTGTGACTGGAGTGATCTTTTTTCCTTCAACCATTTGAATCTTAACAGTTTCCCTTCTCAAGCCTTTAGATTTGCTTACACCAATGACTTCATGTCTTAGGATTTCAATATAGTCAGAAAAATATAATCTATTTTTGACTATATGTCTGGTGATACTAGAGTCTCCTAGCCATGATACTCCTGAGAGTGAGGTAAGTGCAATGTCTGTTGCACAAAATATATAGTCTTCTGAGTCTGAGTCTGGCTTCTTTCTATTCCTTTTCATGACTTTCTAGAATTCTTCTTTCTATTTAGGCAATTTGTTCTGATATGACTGGTTTCTCCACATCTATAACATGTGACTTTCAGATTGGACTTCTTGCCATGTGTTGCAAGTGTCATGGTCTGATCAGAAGTCTTTTAGAGAATTCAGGAAATCAACTTGTAAGAATCTTTCAAGTCAGCAGTATCTACTGATGAGATGAATGAATTTCATGATTCTAAAAGTGATGTAAGCAGTGTAATAGAGAAGTCCTCTTTTTCAACTTTCTGCTTAAGAGTTGCCAGCTCCTTCTAATAGGACCTCATAGTCCTAATATGCTCCTCTATATTTTCTTCTTCTTTGCACTAAGCTCTGAAGAATTTTCTTCTGACAAGGACAATTTCCATAGGTCCTCTGGACTCATACATATCTTTCAGAGCTTTTCAGGCTTCTGCTGAAGTCTTTGAACCAGCAATATATACCAGCAGGCCATCTGGAACCCACAATCTTATTGTTGAAAGAGCCTTCCTATCACTCTTCTTCCAATCTGCCACTAGTGTCATGTCTGCCAGGGCTGGAGTGCTTCCATCTGCATAATCAATTAGTCCTAAATTAGTTAGAATATCAATCATCTTGATTTTTCATGTTGGGTAATTTTCTGGACCCTTAAGGAGGTCAATTCTATATACAGACTGACTATCCATATAGTTCTATATGTGTATATAAAGTATGAAAGAGCACAAAGTGAGTAGTGATGTAAGTTCAGTTATGGCTGAGGCCTATAACCTGTTGTAAGTAGAGAGCAGAGTAATGTACAGAGGATTAGAATTAGCCTCTCAAGAGAGAGATGTTCTACTTAAATATATTTTGTATTACTTTGAGATCTTTCTATGAAATACTAAATAAGTCTGGATCATGATTCAAGTCAGCTGCTGCTGACTAACATTGTATCTTTGAGTATATTCTTGTACTCACTCAGGATTGCTATTCTAATAAATTTCATTACTTGCCAATCATGTGTGGGTGACACAACTTGACAGAAACTGAAGACTTGAGCAGTACTCTACCACTGAGACATTTCCTGACCTGCCTGAAGGTGATGTCAAAGAGAATGATTCAGTTTCTATATTGAACTATTATCTGCCTGATAGTCTCTCAGTCAACTCTAGTATTGATCTGTCTGATGAGGCCCACAAGCTAAGAGATGGAAGGTCAGAGGTACATGGCATGCTGGTGGAGCTGAGGATAGTGGTCTCAAAGGCTGCCCTCTTATACATGCAGGCCAGCCTAGCTCTAGAAGAGGAGTGAGTGAAGACTGCATTACTCATGATGCTTATTATAAGCATCTGTGAGAAGATGTACATGGAGAAGATCATATGGATAGTGAATTTAACAGATACCAATGATGATACTAGTGATCAAGAGAGTGGTGGTGAGCCTGGTGGCAATATCAAAAGTAGCAATAATTTCATCCAGAAAAAGCTTCAGCCTTCTCTGTAAGTACTTATTCACCATATATATCTCTGCTTCAATTCATGATGCATCAGAGGCTTCAAGTTCAACAGAAAAATCTCCTCAAAAGTGCCCCCATTCCTATGAAGATGAAGATGCATGTATCAGTCTTAAGCAGGTCAAAACTGATGTTGAAGAAGAAGGTCATGCAGAAGTGCAAGTCAAGTCTTCTTGTGCTGTCACATTACAAGGACAGAATCATCCTCAACTCAGAGAAGGCTCTCTTGCTGATATATACATAAATATCAGTCTTGAATGCTAAATTATTGAAGAATGCTTTTCTGTTGATTTGGACAAAGAACCATTGAATGCTGGTACATCTGACAGTCCTCACTTTCCAGTCAATCTCCTAATTTCAATTTTTCTCTCAAACAGGCCCTCAAGAATCTCAAAGACTAAGAAATGTATCCTCCCTATAAAGCTCACAATCCCATAGCTCCTCTCCCACAGGCATCAGACAGTTCTAATTCTGATCCCAAGGACTGCAACTTAGATTCAGATTTGGACTCATCAAGCTCTCTAGATCATAGAACAAAGTCTTCAAAAACAGAGTCTCTGCTGTGATAGTGTGGCACACCAACCCCTCTACTCCCCCCTCTTCCCTCTGCAGCTCTGGCCAAGGAGTCTGTCTCTGCAAGAAGGCTAATTTGCATGCTGACCCAACCTCCTATTCTCTGTCATCCTTATTAGACTCAGGTCTTAATGCAGACAGACTTCTCCAGGCAATTTAAATAGGATAGATATCTATGAGCAAGAAGACAGGATGCCAACTCCTTCACTTAGACAGCAGCTCAGCTGAATATCTGTCAATCATCAAGAATATTCTTGACATAAACTTGTTTTATGAGAAGGAGCTCCACTCCACATTCTCTCTGTACTCAGAAAAGAAGACAGTGGAACATTTATCAGTCCATAACATAGATCATAGGTGCATTTATGACATACATTTAACAGACAAGCAGGTGAAGGAGTAATGTGACAGGCATTTATTGTAACTGAGTCCGTACAACTAGTGAACAAACAAAATAATATCTTTAGCATTCTTGCATATCCTCTGTAGAATGTCATTGTGGAAAATGAAGCTAGGACTTTGATTACTACATTATAAGAAGGCCTAAGGATGTTGAAAACCCACCTAAAATACAACAACCAACCCTTTAATATTACAGTAATAATTGACAAGTCAAATCCACTGTTATAGAATGGTTATCTCTGCAGAGTTATAAATACAAATTGCTGTAAAAAGTGGATTAAGCAACTATAGAAAGAATCTGAGGTTTAGAATATTAGTTAAACAAGAGGTCAGAGAGCTTTTCTGAGATGGGGATATTGGCAGTGGTAGTTTGCTCTGATGATGCTTCATTGAGCCTTAATTTATATTCACATCAGTCAAACTGTGACAAGGTTGAAGTGAAGAGGCACTGACAGGATATTCAACAGTGACTCTAACTCTCCTTCTGCACATGTTTTATCTGGGGCTACATAACATGCTCTGGAAATGGTTCATGATATGTATGCAGCAACCCAAAAGTGCAGCAGATACTTATGCAACAATCTGATTCCAGTAGCTGTGTTGGCTTGAACTATAGAGTACAAAAATGGAAGTGATACATGTGACCAGTTCCAAATATCAGCTTAGTCAGCTTCCTATCATATTGCCAACAACAAAAAACAATTTTGCCCTCATCTGAACCAAGGTTTGAACATTATATTAGACACCTTCCTCATAAATTTTCTCAGTGCTTCAAGCTTGCACTAAAATAGTTCTCTAATGCATAAAGAGTGAGTCCTAAGCTATAGCAGCAGGGCCTAATGGTTGTCCCAGCTGCTAGCACAATCTGACTAGTCATCAGCTGGATTTGACACTCCAATGGCCAGCTGACTCTTTCTCATTTATGGGTGGTCAATGATTTCAAGTCCCAAAACTTGAACCATTCAACACCAGCAATGCAACATCTATGGACTCCTATTATTGTTGTAAAGTTTCTTAGCATTTTCATTAGAACTGGAATGTGATATTCACCATTAGTTTCAGTTCTCTAAATATAATAAGATTTCAGATGTATTAGAAGGATGTTGGAGTCCAATTCATCACTCCCAAAGTATGACTTCCACCATTTGTTATGACTACTCTATTACATTTCTTCAGCACAGATCCTGACAGCTAGTGGTGTACTCAATCCAATGTCTTGAACTACAAACATATCTCTGATCTCTCCATGAAGCTGAATGTGTTTGGATGGCTGATGGTCTGTGTAGTTGACATAATGTCTATCTACTGATTTTTCCAGTGAACACAACTTTTGACTCCTATAAGCATTGTTGGCAGGTGATGAGCACTCTTTTATTCTATCAGAATGCAAGAAAATGTTGGCATCCTCCAATCATCCAGTGAGTAGTTCATTCTACCCTCATCTTTTTTCTTTCCTCCATCAGAGATTATCCACTGAGTGGTGTAATAGTTGTTGATCATGATCTATGAAAAGAGGAGATCAACTCTGATTTTCACAATACTCCCAGATGTCTGATAATTCTATCACAGAGAAGCTGGATAGAAGGATAAAGTTTTACTTTGTGATATAAGAGAGGGCTGAAATAAGTCAGAGTAGCATCTGATGTCGCAATAAACTTTAAAAGTCCTTGTCCTCTTCCTCTTCACCACTGTTGTCACTGCAGCACCTGTGAACATCAAGACAGATGCTCAATGGTTTGTGAATGGGCTTCTTCCTCTCAGGCCAAAAGCTAGGTATAATCATAAGTGATATTTTATGTAAATATGATTAGGTGACTGATGGGAGATGAGCAGTGAGTGTGACTATCCCTATGCCTATTCTGTCTGGTGCACTGTTCAACAAGCAATCTGGCATACTGTGCAGCCAACCATCTGGCATCTTGTATAGCAAACAGTCTAGTATAACATATGGAAAACCTTCTAGTATACTGTACAAGTCAAGAAAATAGATATCAAAGTCAAATTAGATAGATGCTTCACAAATTTTGGTTTCTTGATTATTATTTACCTTTATTTAGATACATTTCTTTTCATGCAGATCCACTTTGACTAGACTCTGTCTATAGATGTGATATATATATTCATTGTATCACAAACTCTTTATATCCTTTCAATCTGTTGAAAGAAATTATCACCACAAGAGGGTTCAGTACCCATCTTATCTCTCTTCACTGCTGTGAGACTGTAGCAACTCTGTGCAACTTGGAGATGGTCAAACATTGGCCATCTCTATATCTTTTACTAATTTGGTCACATCTCTATTGTTTTTATTCCAGAAACAGTGACAGCAACACTAGACATATAACAAGTCCTGTAGGCTTATTAGAATTGCTCACTTTCAGGTTGCAACTGTGGCACATACCTTTTGTGTGCCAAAGAGTAGAAAGATGGATATGGGCACTAGCACACTCAAATATTAGTATTAGTATTCATTGAAATGAGAATGTGATGAACTCAAGATTGAAGCCAAGTTCCACCCTACTGCTGATAAACTAGAGTCTATCACAAGACTGATTATACCCATCCTAGTTGAGTACAAATTAGAGACATGACCATAGTGAACAATTTGACTTACATATTACTGATGGAGAGGAGAACTGTGAGCACTGCCATGCATATGATCAAGGGCACTGTAACTGTGGTATTAGTCACTGAAAGAGGGCATCTGAGTCTGTGCTTGGTGATGCAAACTTTAATAATGATGAGAACTATGAGAATTCAGAGCCTTAGAAGTGTTGTCCAGATAAAGAATACTTACTAGAGAAAAGGAGAACAGAAGTGTCCAGTAACATAGTCATTATGGCACTTATAATATATCTATCAGATTATAAATACCAAATCAACTGGATGCGATAAAAAAGATGAAGACTAGACAAATGGTTGGCCTGCATCAAATCCATCTAAGTGAGTGATATGACAGAAGATGTGGCTCACATCTTGTTGCACAGCTTCTGAGTGAGCAACCCTGATCTGAGAAGGATAGCTATGCATCAGATGACAAGTGGTGAATGATTTATGACTGGTGCTTATGGCTATAATATAGGAAAAAATGATGATGCCAATAGCAGGGAGGATTGCAAGTAACTGCCAAAGCTGTTAGCAAAGATGTAAATGAGGCAGAAGGAAGAGTACTATACCCATAACCACCACTGCTTCATTCTTTTATCTGAGATTGACAGGCTCATATGCAGCTGTAGAATATCAGCTATGCTCTAGTTCCACAGAGCCTGGCATATCTCAAGAATGAGGCCCAATGCAGAGATTGCAGTGCTAGACAAGGATTGGATGAGAATCATAGACCAATGATATAAAGGATGAACAAGTCACATATAAGGATTGGCAGCATAGCCAAGAGCTGATTGCAGGATACAAATCCTGAAAGAAGGCTCTATTAGAGGATATCCATATGTTTCATCTTATCTTACTTTTCAATCACTTGCTCTATTTATCTTATATATACTTACACTTTCTGTCATTTTCTGATCACCTATATAGTCTAACCATTCCTATCTGTATGCCTCAGTTGCTTCAATCACATTGTGCCCAACTGAGATATGTATATCTCTACTGTGCTTATGACTATGATACTTACACTTATTCATAAATACTCACATATATTCTTCTGTCAATAGGTTATGAGGCCCTGTTGCCTATAACTACTCAGTTAAGAAGAATATGGAACAGAATTTCGACTCAACTTACCACTTGAATTTATACTATACCACTACTCTCACCACATTACACCACACCCTTAAATGATATCATCAATGTCAGAAGTCACTATCCTCTCTGACACAAGTAGTTATTTCAACAGGAAGAACTACACCTCATAAAAACTCCAACTTACTGAGTTACTAAAGGAAAAAGGCCTATGAGAATACATTGCAGAAACTACTGCCTGTCCTGCCATCCCTGCCACCACTACCACAGCCACAGCTACTATCACACCTCTCCCACCAGACTCTACTCCCATATACTCATTCTCTCTCTTGTATGATAAGTGGGTTTTTTGTGATCAGCTTGCTCACTCAAACATCATCCTCAATGTTTTCAACTTCATTAGTTTAGAGGTCAAGACTAATGGAATGGCAAAGGAATGCTGGGACTCCATTGCTACAGAACATGCAAAGAAAACAGATATGGCCCTTTTCAAGACTGAGGTATTGCTAAATGCAGTGAAGTTTGACAGGAATAGTGACATCAATATTCACATTGCTGACTTGCACATGAAATGATGAGCTGTGAATGATCTTTGAACTACAGCATTGAGTGATCAGGAGTTCAAGGGAATAATTATTTGCTTGATAATCTCAACTGATCACTGGATGCCTATTCTTTCAAGTTTATACAGCATGCCAACATCCTCTGATGTGTTTTCCCATCTCCAAACTCATGCCACTATGCTTCATGCAGTGGGTAAAGGTCCTGCCAACTCTCAAGCACTTGCAGCTAAGTCAGAACCTCTATCATGGTACATGGATGTCACAACCCAGATTGCAAGGTTCATGATAAGACTAGGTATACCACCAAGAATTATTATTGGCCAGGAGGAGGAAAAGAGAGACAATTCCCTGCCAACTTCAGCTGACCTTGCTGCACAAACCAGACAATTTTGAACATCACAGCTGATATTATGAGGCATTTTGTACTTGCTGCACATGCTACTATGGTAGAAGTCAATCATGATGATGACAGCATTGTAATTGAGGATGGCAGCACTGGCAAGAGGATATATGAGTGGAATGATACCCATTCCTTCTGGCACTAGGATGAAACAGAGAGCAGCACTATGTTGATGTCAAAGGTTGAAGAAGAGACAGACCTCAAAATGCCTCCTCTCACTGATGTCAATGACTCTGATGATAAAGATGTTGCTAGAGACAATGAGATACCTTCTGTCAAGAGTATAGACACCAGCAAAGCCAACATCAAGAATATAAGACACTTTACATGCAAGGCTGACTCTACTACAATAGCCTTTATCATGACTACATTCAAAGACCATACCCCAGCCATCACTCTAACCTTCATAGATTCTGGCATGAGTGACTACTTCTTCAGGAATTATGATGACTTCACAGAGTACACACCAGTAGCCTCCCATACTGGCTCATCTGCAGTTGAGGGAAAGAGAATGTTCAAGATCCTGGGCCAAAGTACAGCAACAAAGGTCTTCAGACTGAATAGAAGAGATATTAAGCTCACCTTCAAAAATGCCTTGCATTCACCTTCACTCACCACAAATCTCATCTCTATAAGTACCTTAGACAAGGCTGGGTTATCAACTGTATTCTCTGATGGCCATGCAGTTGTCCAAGATAAGTCTGATAAAGAGATCTTTGCTGAGTAAGACTTGGATAGCATGTATATGCTGGATACTGCATCCAGCCTCCAAGCTATAGCATCTCACTCATCTCCTACTTCACTGAGTACCTGATATCATCATTTTGTCTATATGAGCCCTGTAAAAATCGAGGAGATGGCATTAAAAAGGCTGATGAATGGCTTGGAAATTACCTCAGAGCCTATCCAGAGACACTGTGAGGACTGTATTCTGGTGAGACATGCTCGCCATCTCTTCAATGAGCTCATCAATCCCAACATCAACCCATTAGAGCTTGTTGCAATAGATTTGTGGGGACTATCTTGAATGGCATCACTGAGTGGAAAGACTTATATGATGATATTTATCAATAGTGGTACATCATTCAAGATAGAGGAATTCCTGGCAGACAAAGCAGATGACACTATCATGGCCACTTTTAACAGATACAGATGCATGGCTGAGACTCAGACTGGCTAAAAGCTTAAGCATGTACATACTGATTGTGCTTTTGCAGGAGTAAAGTGAAAACAATACTGTGAGGAGCATAGAATTATCCTGGAATTAACTGCACTCTACTCATCAGCCCAGAATGGATTAGCTGAACATGTCCTATACACCACCATAGAGGATACAAGAGCTCTACTAAGTGACTCTGGCCTTGCTGACTGCTACTGGGCTAAGGCTGCCTCTATGTCAATCTTCATGCAAAACCTTGTTCCTTCGAGTTGTCATCCTGAAGTGGTATTAGCAGAGGGTTTCTCAAAGCAACAACAGGATGTGGGATTTTTATGAGTGTTTAGATTCACTTGCTGGGCAAAAAGACCTATAGCTAGTGGAGTTTTGGTAGATGGTAAAAGCAAACTCAATGATCGATCAAAGAAATGCATCTTTCTGGGATACTCAGGATCTAATTACTGCATACTTGATTAATCAGGACATGTGTTCATATCTTGTGATGTCATCTTTGATGAAGAACCAGCACACTGAAGTGTGAGTGTGAGGGAGATAGAGGATGAATCTGCATTCACCACTTCTACTCATACTGAGATGCCTATGCCAATCAAGCTAACCAAGCTAATGCCAGATGCTCCTATAGAACCAACTCTTCACCAATCAATATGCTTAATGCATTCCAGTGCTGATGCTGCCAAATCTCTGATATCAAAGCAACAAGAGGCTGAGGCCTATATGAGCAAAAATAACTGGGCAACTAACAGCAAACAGCCACATACTTCAATAGCTTCTGATAATCCATCTGACCCATATATCTCATGAAATCATCAAGATGTACTGCATGTCAATGAAGAGTGATAAAAGGCAGCCATGAATGTGGAATACTAAATACATATGATGAAGCATATATAGAACTTAGTTGACAGACCAGTGGGTGTGAACATAATGGATTGTAAATGGGTCTATAGTATAAAATGGGATGGCAATGGTAACTGGATCAGGGATAAGGCAAGGCTCATTGGGAAGGGCTACACTCAACAGTATGAACTTGACTATAATGACACTTGGGCTGCAGTGACCTATCTCAAATCTATACAGATGTTGGCTGCTGTTGCAGCAAAGCTTGATCTTATCTTATAGCAAGTGGACTTCATTTCAGCATACTTGAATAGCAAGATAAAAGAAGACATCTATATGCATCAGCCTTCAGAGTACATAGTCAAAGGATAAGAGGATAAGGTGTGCAAACTTGTCCATACTATTTATGAGACTATGCAGGGTGGCTATGATTGGTTCAAGATACTCAAGAAAACCTATGAAGACCTTGGATACCATGCATCAAAGGCAGACTCATGTGTACACACCATTGGCAAGCCTGAAGATGAGTATACCATCACAGATACTTACACTGACAATGTGTGGAGAGCATCATCGACTATAGAGAAGGCAAGCTGACAGAAGAAAGAATTAGAGGAGAAATGGGAGCTTACCAATATGAGAGAGAACTATTACTTTCTGAGGATGAAGATTGAACAAGACCTTGAGGCTGGCACCATCACCTTCTTATAGCACCCATATTGAGAGAATGTATTTCTAGACTTCAATCTTGGATATGTATGATCACAGACCATCTCTCTACCTGTCTGAATCATACTTGACATGTCACAGTCTCTGAATACCCAAGCAGAGAAGGATGCTATGGAAAGATTCCTATACTAATGACTGCTAGGCCATGTTATGTGAGAACAGCTTGCAACTCATCCTAACTTGTGCTTCTCTATGAGCCTGCTCACTTGCTTCCAGTCTAATCCAGAGATAGAGCACTGGAAAGCATTAATACATGTTCTTGGGTATATAAAGGAGACAATAGACCTTGGTATCTCCTTCTCACATGAGCAGCCATTAACACCT